CGGCTGGGTCGTGTCTCCGCGAGGCGACGTCGCGACCGGGGCGGCCGTCGCTGACGACGACGACGAGGCGAGCTCATCGCCGGCGGCCGAGGGCGGCGGGGAGGGTGGCAGCGGGCCGCCGGGCGGGGTGGGCGGCAGCGGGCCGCGCGGGGACAACAGATTGGGCGGCCGCCGCGGCGATTTGCCTGCGACGATCGTCGAGCCCTGCCTGGGCGACACCACCTGCTGCTGCTGTGTCGACGTTGACGACGCCGACGAAGACAACGTCGACGACTCCGATGATGGCGCGTCGCCGCCGCCGGCGGCGGGCGGGTGGAGCCGGGCGAGGGCGTGGGGGCAGATCGGACGACGGCGCGCGCGGCAGCGGGGCCAGCGGGCGGGTGACGGTGCTGCCGCCGCTGGTCTGGAGAGGCCGCGTCGGCGCCGGGCCGGCGCCGGTTGTCGACGACGTCGACGAGGTTGTGGACAGAGACGAAGACAGGGAGAGCTGCTGCGGCGACGGCGACGGCGAGTGTGGGGAGGAGAAGGACTGCTGGCGGCGCACGAGGGAGGGCAGCGGGCGCGGCGGCAGCGGCGAACTGGCGGGCGACCCGGAAGCGGAGGCCGGCGGCGATGACGACGACGACGACGATGTGAAGGAGCCGGCGTTGGGCGGGAGCGGGCGGGCGAAGGCCGGGCGCGGGCCGGTGGTGGGGGCCGACGCCGGCGGCGGCTGCTGCTGCATTCGGTCTATTTCGGGCTGAAATGAAGCGGGCGCGTAAATGCAAATGAAATACAACAGTTTTGTTTCATAAGCGTAAGTGTAGTAATATTAAAACAATAGAAATGAAGGAGACGGGTGTAGTATTGAAGAAAATGAAAGAGAGAAGGGAGGAAAAATGAATGGGGGGGGGCGAAGAAAGAACGAAGCACTCTTCGTTTTATTATTGTAATAAAAAAAAACAATGAAAAAGAGCGGGCGGCGGTAAGTACCTTAGGTCTGAAGCGAACAGGGGTTTGGTAAAGGAGAACTGCACAAAGCGGTCGAAGGTCTCACGATTGGACCCAACTGCCGCCAATCCTTCCGAACTCTTTTTTGATGGCTTTGGCTAGCGAACCACAAGTCTCTTCCCCAGCACACAGCCAACGGCCCACGGAGATTAATTAGGTACTCGGTTGATTGTAGTTGGTCGGCATTCCAAATTGCGAACAGTGATTTGCTATTGGTTGGAAGGTCTGGGCTGACTTTCCCCGCAAGGAACAGTACCACCCTCACCTTCCTGTGATGCCGTGGTTGGCAGATGTAACAAGAAACTCCAAAACATGAAGCAGCACCAGGAGATGAACACTCAGGTTTTGAAGATAGGAAAGAGGTCACCCCATTACAACTGCCTTGCCACCCACCAGCGCCAGCGCCAGCGCCCCCTCCCTCTACTGTGAAGCGGTGCGCTGCTTCTCCTTGGCCTCCCTCTCTTTCTCGATTTCCTGGTGGTGGTGCAGCACGAGATCGTGGGGCGTGAGAAAGATAAAGAGAAGAAATGAAGAAGAAACGGGTGGCAGGGAAGCGCGTACGGAGAAGATGGGTTCGTAGTAGTCGATCATGATGGTGATGATGGCATTGCTCGCCTTGAAGTCTGACGTGTCGAACGGACTGGCCGCCTGTCGTGTGTGGTTGTCGTGTCGCGTGGTGAGCATCACAAAAAAAAGAATGAAACGAAACGAAAACGGAAAGCAACGCACCCTGTTGACGAGGAGGATCGGCGAGAAGACGATCGCCAAGTTGCTCGGGCTCATCAAGTTGCTCTCCTTGTGTTGCGCCACCTGAATTAAGATATTAATTTAGATATCAATAATTTAGATACCGCAATTTAGATAGGGGCGAGGGGCATAAAGACGTACGCAGCTGAGGAGCTTGAAGAGGACCTGCATGACGTAGCGGTTGGTCTCGGGCAGGGCCAAGATGAGCTTCTGCACCTGCGGCAGCAGCCGGGCCATGTTGCCGCCCGACTCCTTCTCGCCCACGACGCGGTTGCCCAGCTCGATCCACTCCGGGTAGTGGCCGTAGGTGAGCAGCGGGTCCGGCAGGTCCCGGATCCACATCTTGAGCAGGCCCGTCACGTTGTGGTCGTTCTCGCTGGCCGGCAGCACCAGCTCGTTACCTGCGCCGCCCCATCGAGTGAGTGCGTGTCGTGTGTGTGTGTGTGTGTGTGTGTGTGTGTGTGTGGCGCGTGTGTCGTGTCGTGTTGCGTGTCGTACCGAGGTCGACCAGCACTTTCTTCTTCTCGATCTCGGCGCCGCTGCCCGATTCGCGGAACAGACCCTGGACCGCCACGGCTGCGCATGCCAAAGGGGAGAGGAATTCTCGGAATGTGAGAATTCAAGCGGCGGCCTGGTATGTGGTCGTCGATGGGGGGGGGCGTACACTTGGTGAACAGGAACTCGGTGCACACGTCGACCAGATAAGGCACCGTGCGGCCCTTTTCCCGCGGGTTGTTCTTCATCAGCCTGTCCAGCGGCACTCCGAACACTGCGTGCGCACACACTCCAACCATCAGCACACGACACGACACGACACGACACGACGACGACACGACGACGACACGACAACACGACGACACGACGACACGACACACGGACGCAGATGCGAACCTTTGTACTTGGAGATGCGGTCGATGGCGTTCTGGAGTTCGGTGAGCCAGTCCTTCTTGTCGGCGAAGGTGGGGAGGATGAGGGTGTAGCGGGGCTCGTCGCGGCCGGAGATGGTGGGCACGAGCGAGGCGGCGGGCGAGGTGGAGCTCGGAATGATCTGGAATGCGTTGTAGAGGCTCGCCGTGTCCTCCAGGTCGTCCATGCGCAGGCCCTGCAGGGAGAACCGGCCGGCGAACTTGAGCTTGTTCGACGCGGCCGACGTCACGTTCAGGAACCGCAGCGCCTGGCCGGCCGACGACGTGCCGCTCTCCGTCGCAAACACGATGCAGTCGTTGAACAGCCAGAACCGGAATGTAGCCTGCATACCACACAAGAAATGCACAACATTCCACGCGTTACATTGGAATGTGGAATGAGAAAGAGTTGAGGAATGTGGGGTATGTACGCGGCCGTCGGTGGAGCCGCCCATCCACGACGACGAGGCGCCGTCTTCGCCCGGGGCCAGCGGGGCGATCATCGGGAAGGTGGCCTCGCGCAGCAGCCGGCGGGCCGGCTCGACCAGGTTGCCCTCGAACCCGCTGAGCGAGTTCTGGATGACGATCAGCCGGCGCATCTCGGCCGAGAAGTCGTTCGACGCGTCGAGCTCCTTCTCGATCTCCTTGATGGCCCTGATCACGGCCTGCAGGTGCCGGTAGTCCTGGCTCGCGTCGTCGGCGCTGCCCGCGATGATCTGCAGGCACTCGAGCAGGTCCTTGGCGTGCGTCAGCGGCGACGTCAGCAGCGACAGCAGATCACCCTGTGTGTCGTGTCGTGTCGTGTCGTGCGTTAATACACCATGTGTGTCGTGTCGTGCGGTGCGTGCGTGTGCGTTGTGTGCGGTTGAGGGGAGGGTGGTGCCTGGATGAGGGCCTTGAAGGACTTGTGCTCCATCTTCTTCTCGAGGGTGTCCTCGGCGGCGTAGTGGGAAAAGGCGAACATGGTGTAGCACTGCCACTTGTCCACCGTCGACAGCAGCTCCCGCCCCAGGCACTCGCGCGGGTGCTCCTTCAGCGCCTTCTTCACTGCCTCCCCGATCTGTCGCGTGTCGCGTGTCGTGTCGTGTGTGGTGAGTGCAATGTGTGTCGTGCGGTGTGTGCGGCGATGGTGCGAGACGAACGGTGGTGTGGAGGCTGTGGATCTGGGGGATCTGGTAGAAGATGGCCTGGCGGTCGGCTTCGGTGACCTTCTCCGCCAGCTTGGGGTCCTTCGAGCACCCGTACCCGACCGCATTCTTGTTCTGTAGTTATGATCGGAATGGATGGAATGCAACAGCGTCGCATTCCAACCAATAGATAAGCTCACAATCACAAGTTTGATTGCGCGTTGCGTTGCGTTGCGTGTTTAGAACGTACGTCGAGGATGAGGGCGAGGCGGGCCAGGTAGTTCTGCTCGAGCTTCTGCAAATTCTGGAGCGCCCTGTACCTCCGTTCCACTGTAACGATTGAGACCAATCGCGACACCGTTGATCAGCGACCGCTGTGCAACCAATCAACTGCGAGGCTAAACACCCCGAGCGTACCGGGGTCGGAGATTTCCTTGTCCATGTCCTTTTCCTTCTCCTTTTCCTTCTGCAGGCTGACCAGGGTCTTTCGCATCTTGTCCGTGTAGCCCTTGATGTCCACCGTCTTCATCGAATGCGGCTCGCTCTGCTTGCTCTGTGTGCGCCCCGCCCCCCGTCAGCACACGACATGACACGCACGACACACACATGCGACACACACACGACACACATGCGACACGCAACACGACACACACACGCAACGTACGGCGTCGGCGAGGCCGGGCCTGATCTGGTTGAGTTCGTCGACGAGCTCGTTGACCTTCTCCTGGCCGGCGAGGAGGTACTTCTCCATGGCGTCGAGGTAGCCCATGCACAGCTCCTCGGTCAGGTACTTCTGGTCGTTGCCCAGCAGCTTCTTGAACGCCACCGCCGTCTCATCCACGCTCGACTCAAAGTTCTCCTTCGCGTCCTGCTCCTCCTTCTCCGCCTGTGCGTGCGCGTGTGCGATGATGATGAGTGTGTGCCATGTCGTGTGCGGTGGTGTGTGTCGTGTGCGATGGTGTGTGTCGTACCTCGTGAAGCTTGGTCTGGTCGAGCTTCTTGGCGCCCTTGATCTTGGCCACCTTGGCCTTGGCGTTGGCATAGGCCGTCACCGTGCGGTCGTGGTCCTTCTTCGCCGCCTATTTGTTGTATCATTACCGCCCGCGATGGTCAGTCGGTCAGCTTCAGCTAAGCCGGCTAAATCAAAGGCCGCGGCGGATTGGTCGAGGGCGCACCTCGGCCTCGGTGAGGTCCTGCTGGACCACCAGGAACGGCGTGTTGACGTACTTGGTCAACGCACGATCCTGTTTGCCGTGTGTGTGTGTGTGTGTGTGTGTGTGTGTGTGTGTGTGTGTGTGTGTGTGTGTGTGTGTGTGTGTGTGTGTGTGTGTGTGTGTGTGTGTGTGTGTGTGTGTGTGGTCAGTTGATCGTTTGTTGGTTGGGCGAGTGCTGGGGCACAAGGCGCGTTTTACAGCTTTGTCGCGGTCATCCTGGAGCGAGGACCAGAACTCGCCGATCTTCTGCCACGTCGCACCTGGGAGCACCGACACACGGACACACACACACACACACACACACCACACGACACACACCACACACACACACACGACACACACGACAGAGGTGCGACAAGGATGACGTCAGCAACGACAAGGACAAAGCAAAGGCGCGAGGCGCAGTAGGAGTACCGAGAGCGGCAGCCTCGGGGTCGTCGTCGATCAGGAGGAAGGTCTTGCCGATCTCGCCGAACGATTCGGCCATCGACCGCGCGCCATCAATGCTCACTACATCGATCGGTCGTGTCAGTCAACCCAAAGCCACAACAATTTGGAGAATGTAACGCGCGCATTCTTGTGTGGTTGAGTAGTGAGTGTTGAGGAGAGGGCCTCACTCACCTTCGTTGGTCTTCTCGAGGTTGTTGATGCGCTTGATGAGCTGCTTCTCCTTGAAGAAAGTCCTCATCTCCATCAACCTCTGCAGCGCACGGTTGGCATCACCAGCACCACTCATATCAGCATCACCCTCACCGTCAGGTCCATTGCAGCACACCGCCGCTACGTCGACGTAGGGGCGACGCCTCACACTACTCTTCTCCATCTTCATCTACGTTTGTAGAAAGATCTTGGCTTCCATGTTCATCTTTCAGCTTCTACTCGATGCGGTGAAGGGGGGGGGAGCTGGGGAGGGAAGAGGGGCACCTGGCTGTGTTTCTCGAGTTCGATTTCTTCATCGGGCTGGGCCTCGTCGGGGCGCCGCACGGTCGGCGACGAACGCGTCAGCGAAGTAAACATCTTGTTGTTCTCTCCTCCTTGTAGCACTACCTCGCTTCAGCTGTTCGATCCATTTGATTGGAGGGGGGGGGAAAGAATCGCGTAGCGTCATGCATTTGTTGCGACTCTGGAGACATCATTCGATACTAAATTCAAGGGGGCTGCAAGATGTGCAGCCCAACCACCAATCAATCCAAAAATAAAATAAAAAGGCCACAAAAATAGTGAGGCGTACCAAAATATACACAAGTACAGCGATCTCTCACCTCTCGATGCGTCGGTTGGGTAGATCTAGAAACTGGGGTGCTGGGTTGCCAGAAAGGAGCTCCCCAGTTATGATAATCAGAGAGAAACTGGTTGCTCTCTTCTTGGTCCTTGGGTTGCCCCAAGGTTTTCAGAGCCTTAATTAATTTTGTGTCGGCAATAAATTTCTTGAGAAAGAAAAGAAAAGAAAAGAGTTTTTAAAACTCTAGTTTGCATTATCTGTATTGAATCGGCAGCTACTGCCGTACAGCCATGGCCCCTGCAGTACAAATCCCCTCTTTGTAATGCTCCTTTTGTTGGCAAATATATTTTGTAATTTTTAGCCTCGCGATTGCCGGGTTACCCCAGATACTCATTTCATCTAATTAATTTAACCTCGTTAGCCCCTTCTTCGAAGGCCGGCACTCGATCTGCTCATCTCTCCATTTAATCTTCTTATTTTAAATTAATAATCAAAATACTTATTACTCTGTGCTCGCGATTTGATCTTGCAAAAAAGGTGGTGGAGCGGCTGGTCGGGTGGGCGACCGGCGTCGTGGGGCGGCTGGCGGAGTGGTTCGTCGGCCACCTCGGCCGCGCCGTCCGCTGGGTCGGCCGCCAGGCGCGCACCTTCGTGGAGCCGCTACTCGAGCCCCTCCGCCTCCTCTACGCCTTCATCGCCGCCCGCATCGGCACCTGGTACCCACCACCGCCACCACTTGCTGACGTGGCGCCACGGCAGCAAAGGCTGACGCACGACACGACACGACACGGACACGACACGACACGACACGACACGACCAACGACACGACACGACACGCAGGATACTGGCGCTGGTGCTGATGGTGGTCTACTGCGCGGTGGCGGCGGCCGTGGCGGTGGTCCTCTATCTCTTCCTCTACCACAACTTCGTGCCCATCATCGCCTTCCACAAGCCCGTCTACTTTGACTTTACGTACAGCGCACGACACACGCCGCACGCACCGCACGCACCGCACGCACCGCACACACACACGCACACACGCACCGCACGCACCGCACGCATTCCACGCATTTCTGGTGGCTGACGTGGCCACGCAGGCGCGCTGAGCCGTGGGCGGTGGCGGACTTTGCGGACAAGTGGTCGCCGTCGGGGCGGCCGCAGGGCGTCGACCACCTTCGGGCCGGCGGCAGCGGCGGCGGGCCGACCGTGGTGGCCACGCCGGTCCTGTCGCCCGGCCACCTCTACGACTTTGCGCTCGACCTCCAACTCCCCGAATCACCCATCAACGACCGAATCGGTAATCACACGACACACACGACACGACACGACACACACACGCACGACACGACACACAACACGACACGCGGTTGTGCATACCATTCATTCTTGGCGTTATTGTCGAACAGGAATGTTCATGGTGACGCTGTCCCTGTACTCGTGGAACGGCGATCTGTTGGCCAACTCGTCACGGCCCGTACGCAACGCAACGACACGACACACACCGCACATGACACGACACACAGCTGACGTGGCACACGACACGCAACGCACAACACGACACGCACCACAGTGTCGTGTTCGGTACAAGACGGATCTGCTGCAGAAGATGTGGACCGTCTTTTGGTCGGTGCCGCTCGTGCTGGGCCTCATGGAGGAGAAGCAGGCCTTCCGCCTCGAACTCCTCTCCAACTACATCGACACCCACGTACGCACGACACGACACGCGACACGACACACGCCAATCGCGCACGACACACGACACGACACACGCCAATCGCACACGACACACGACACGTGACACGCGCTGATATGTGACGACGTGGCGCGCGCGCAGGCGGCCCCGTTCGGGTACGCCACGGTGGCGCTGTCGCATCGCGAGCTGGAGGTCTACTCGGCCGAGCTCCACATCGAGGCCCGTCTCTCCGGCATCAGGTCTGAACCTCGCCGCACGACACACGACACACGCCACACACTCGTCCTAACCGCACACACGACACGACACGACACGACACGACACGACACGACACGACACGACACGACACGACACGCACAGCTATTTCTGCTACTACTGGTTCTTCACGGCGATGGCGGTGTTCGTGCCGCTCATCTTCCTGGCCGAGACGTGGCTCATCATCCTCACCTGGCTCGTCATCTACTTCCTCCTCCCCGCCGTCGCCCCCTCGACCGTCCCCCTCCCCGCCCCCTCCGCTCCCCTCCCCGCCCCGCGCGCCGCCCCCGTCTCGCCGGCCGAGCGACGGCGACGGATTGCCGGCATCGGGCGGGCCAACGAGGCGGCCGCCGCCACGGTGGCTGCGGCTGCGGCGCCGCTGGCAGTGCTCGAGGAGCTGGGCCACGAGGCCCGCTCGCCCGCCCTCCCGCGCCAGGGCGACGGCGACGACGACCGGCGACGCGCGCAGGAGGACGACGACGATGATGTGGCGCTGCAGGAGCTGCTCGAGAGGGAGATCGCGCGGAAGCTGAAGGCGGTCGAAGAGGAGGAGGAGGAGGAAGATGATGGTGATGATGATGAAGAGGAGGAAGAAGACGAGGACACGGGGGCGGGCGTGTTCCCGCGCCTCCGGCGGCGGCGGCCACGACGGGCTGCGGTGGCCGCCGCGCAGCTGGAGGGTGCCACCCTCACCCCGCCGACCAGCGACGCCGAAGGCGACAGCGACGCAGGCGACGACGACGAGCGAACATCAGCCGCCGCCGCCGCGACAACACCGACGACGCTCGCGCAAGCGGCCGAGGCCGACACGGAAGACAAGACGAAGCTCGACTGACGCCCCAACGAAGAAGAAAGAAGTGAGGGCCACGGCTCGGAAGAGGAGGAGGAAAAAGAAGATTCATTTTTGAGGGGAGGCGCGTAATGTAAGCTGTACATCTCTCGGTTTCGTTCAGTTCGTTGTTGTAGTTGGGTGTGTGTCGTGTCGTGTGTCGTGTGTCGTGCTGCACGTGTGCGTGTGTCGTGCGTTCACTCCATCATCATGTTGTGTCCGCCGCGTTCGCGTTCGAGCGCGGCCGCGGTGACGTGCGGCCCCGACACGGACAGGTTGTGGTGCACACTCACCGCCGCTGCCGCCGATGTCGATGAAGGTGGCGGCTCGTCGCCCTCGTCCGCGTCCATCCACATCGGCGTGCGCCGCGACGGCACCACCGGCGACGACGCCGACAGGAGGCCGTGCATGCCGAACGGCGGCCGCGGCGCGTGCGGCGAGCCAGCGCCGGCGGCAACGACTGGCGAGGCGGCGACAGAGCCGGGCAGTAGTGGGGGCGGGGGCTGGGGCTGTGGCTGCAGTTTGAAGAAGTCGTGGTTGAGGGCCTCGAGCGGGGTGATGCGCTTGGTCGGGTCGTAGGCGAGCATCCGCTCGATGAGGTTCTTGAACACGTAGTAGTCCTCCACCCCGTGGCCCTCCTCGCCCCGTCGCCGCCCGCCCGGACCGCCGATGTCCACCCCCAGCAGACTGTGCAGCGGACGCGCCCGCCAGCCCTGCATGACACGACGCACGACGCACGACACGACACACGCGCGTTAGACACCGCACACGGCACGACACGCACGGCGTGACACGACATGGCACGACACGACACGCACGGCACGCACCTGTGTGTGTTTGAGTTTGTAGGTCCAGGTTTCGTTCTTTTTGCGGAAGCCGAAGAAGCGCTTGGCCTTGGGGCTGCGGAGGACCATCTGCTCGGGCGGGAGGCCCAGCACCTCCGAGATCTTGGTCAGCTGGTCGAGCTCGTTCTCGCCCGCGAACAGCGGCTCCCCCGTGTGCATCTCCACCAGGATGCAGCCCAACCCCCACATATCGATCGCCTGCACAATGCCCCCGCACCCACCGATGAGGAAACGCGCGAGGAGGGGGCGGGCGGGGGCGTACCGTGCTATAGTCCAACTCCAGCAGCACTTCTGGAGACCTATAGAATCGGCTCTGTATATATTTGTACACCTGCCAGAGGAGTGGGGGTGGGGGCGCCGTGTCACTTCTGGGTCTCCGGGGGGGGCTGGAGCGAAGGGGCGGGGGGGGCGTACTCGTTGCTGCGTGTGGCAGGAGGAGCCAAAATCGATGAGCTTGATCGCGCTCCATTTCGGGTTTCGCAGAAGAATATTTTCTGGCTGCTCGCCGCACACGCCACGCGTCAGAAGGGGGCGGGCGGGGGCGGGGGCGGGCGGAGGGGGCGGGAGGGGGCGGGCGGGGCGTACCTTGAGGTCGCAGTGGATGATGTTGACTTCGGAGGTGGAGAGAAAGTAGAGGGCGGTGAGCACCTGCTGGGCGAACTTGCGGATGAGGTTGAGCGACACGCCGTGGAAGTTGGTCGTCCGCAGCAGGTCGTACAGGTTGTACGACAGCAGCTCAAACACCAGACACAGGTGGTTGTGGTGCACAAAGTGGTCCAGCATCCTCACTATTCACGCGTGTGTCAGTGCGTGCGGTCAGCGCGTGCGATCAGCGCGTGCGATCAGCGTGTGCGGTCGGCGTGTGTCGTACCGATAAAGTACTGGTCGTCGGGGTCGCGTTGGTTCATGAGCTTGAGGAGCTTGATCTCGATGAGGGCCTGGTTGTAGAAGGGCTTCTTGTTTTTGATGATCTTGATGGCGACGGCCTCCTGCTTGGCCCGGTCCCAGGCCTTGATGACCTGCCCGAACGAGCCCTTGCCCAGCAGCTGCTGCACCTCGTAGCGCCCGTTGCTGAACGCCTCGCCCGGCTTGATCACGTAGTCGGCGTTCTCGTCGTCGTGGCCGTCGTTGTACTTCACCTCCGCCGTCGTCGCCGTCTTCTTCGCATAATACACCTACAAGCGCGATGTGAGGAATGCAACACGCCATGTGAGGAATGCAACACACTATGTGAGGAATGCAACACGCGGGGTGGGGGGAATGTGTGTGAACCTCGTTGATGCGCTTGTAGGTGTTGATGAGGTCGACGCTGAGCTTGAAGAGCGGGGCGGCCTTGGGGTCGCGATAGGCCGCCACGCCGCCCGCCATCGGGCCGCCCACCGCCGACGCGCCAGCCATGTGCGGCTGCGGCATGTGGTGGTGGTGCTGCTGTTGGTGTTGTGGGTGAACAAGGTGGTGATGGTGGTGGTGCTGGGCCAGGCCGCCGAACGACGGCGAAGTCGAAGTCGACGACGACGGCGATGACGTGGCAGCGGCGCCCCCGCCCAGGGGCGAGGGCTTACGTGGCAGGCAGCCGCCGCCGCCGCCGACGGGGGCGCCGGTGCTGTGGGTGGCGGGTTGGGGCGGCCAGGCGGGAGGCGGGAAGGAGGGGATGGGCGGGAGTCGGATCTGGAGGGCGGGATTATTGGTGCCGCCGCCGCCGCCGGCATTGCTGGAATGGGATCGCTGCCGATGCTGCTGCTGCTGCTGTTGGAGATGGGGCTGGGGGTGGGGATGGATGGCGCTGCCGCCACCGGTGGTGGTGGATGTGCCAGGCTGGCGATAGCCCGCTCCGAATCCGACCCGGGGCGTCGCTGCTGAATTTTCGAACAATGATTCAATTGGGAGGGGGGATGATTGGGATGAGATGAGCTAAGTTCTTGTAATTTGTGACCAAAGATCTGAAAAGATGGCTCGATGGAAAGCAATTTAAATCAAAAAACAAATGATAACGAGATTGAAAAGAACAAAGACGAGGGGCGATGTGAAGGTACCTTCTATCTCCATGGCGAGTGTGTAGAAAGAGGGGGGAGATTAGAACCAGCAAGGGGAGCTTTGCCTCATCTAAGTGTGCACATTAACACGATCACACACCACCAAAGAGAGCGAGATTTGTTGGTCAACCAGGACAATGCGAACCAGGTGGCGCTTATTAAAACGATAATAAATACTAATAAAAATCAATAAAATGCAAAATAAAGGTTGGGCCAAGATGCTTGATGGTAATTGAGCAAAATTGGCCTTGGCGTGGGTAGCAACAGTGCAATTGGGCGTACGTACGGATGTGGGACGTGGCAGGAGGAACAGGGAAGAGTTGGCAGGGCGTAGAGACTGGGATGGGCGATGAATGCAGAGGGGGGACTGGATGCGTAGGGCAGATGGAGAGAGGAGGGAAATCAAAGCAGATCTCCAGCTGGTAGAGGAAGGCGCAGCACGTGGTAAATCGAAAAGAAAAGAAAAGTCGATTTCGTTTCAGATGGCGATGATCCGTTGGTGCCTCTCTCTATCTTTGGCAAGATGATCCCACCTTCTCCTCTTCTTCTCCTACTGTTACGCCAGCTGTATCGTCGCCTCGCCTTCTCGCGCAGAGATCACCGTCGAGTAGCGACAGTTGTTGGCAACCTCGTCGACACTTCGGCCTCGCAACGGCGGGGGGGGGTAGAGGGGGTGGGCTGGACCCAATGGGAGGCGGGCGAGGAAACTCGCACCAGGCCAGCAACGCGAGACGTCGAAAAGACAACCGCGCGAAAGGGAACTGGCCGTTCATCTCTCTTGAAAGAAGAACAAGAAGAGAAGGAGAAGGAGGAAGGATCGAAGGACTCTCGAGGCTCTTCATCAATCTCTCTGCGCAGAGCAGTATTATTATTTTTGAGGATTATTTTTACACGACCGCTCGCTCTCGCATTCGCTCAATTAATCGATTGATCGGCAGCAACAGCAACAATGGAGAAGGACAATGAGCACAAGGAGAAGGTGGAGAAGGTGAAAAAGGAAAAGAAGGAGAAGAAGGTCAAGAAGGAGAAGGCGTCAGGCGAGAAGAAGGAGAAGAAGGAGAAAAAGCCAAAGAAGGAGAAGAAGGAGAAGAAATCGAAAGAGGGAGCAGCCCCTGCGGCCGCCTCGAGCGATGCTACACCAGGAAGCGAACACCACGCCGCCGACGATCACCATCACGATGGCGCGCTGGGCGGAGCCGATTCGTCCGTGCATGCGCCACCACCGCTCAACGCGAAGCCCAAGAAGAGCATCCTCAAGAAGGAGGGCGAGCAGAACGATGATCGCAAGGGCCTGACCGTGGCCGGCCTCGAAACGGTCCCAGAACCGGAGCATGCCGACAAGCCCAAGAAGGAGATCGTGCTCGAAGGCAAGAAGGGCATCGTGCGCAAGAACCTCGGCGAGGGAGGCGCGCTCAAGGCCAAGAAGGCGCCAGTCGAGGCCTCGTCGTCGTCCTCGAGCGGTGCCGCGGCCCCCAACCCCAAGAACGTCATCACCAAGCGAGCCAAGTAGGCAGCGAGCAGAAGAAACAAAGGAAAAGATGGAAGGTGTGCGATGATGGATGGCGGGTTCTCTTTCGTATACGCGGCTACAAGCGCGAGGTTGCACGATCAGGTCGAAGCGAGCGAATGAAGGAAATGTAGGAGGAGGCATTGTGTAAAATTACATCATAAAAAATCACAAACAATAAATAAATTCCAAAGATCGACTCACCAGGGCGGATGGAGTTGCCAATTCCACATCCAAAGAGTCTCTTGGGCTTCTTCACCTTCAACATCAGAGACAAAGCGCACCTAGAGACTACAGGGTTGTTTTGATGTAAAGCTCAAATGGTTTTATTCACCGTTGAGAGAGCAGGAGTGTTTTTGGCTTTTTGTGATTGTGTTTCGTTTTGTCCAGCTGCTTGCGGCTCTAGTCCCTCTCGTGACGAGCCTGCTTCTCCTCAGCGGCGTGCTTCTCACCGTACGAGGCGAGGAAGTCGGTGTTGGCGTGGTAGAGGTCCTTCTGGAACTTGCCAGTCTTCCACAAGTCGGGCGTGAGGAACTGGTAGGTCTTGGTGATGGCGAAGAAGGTGGCCTTGGCGAAGTTGCCGAGGGTGGCAGTGTGGCCCGAAGACGACGTGAACACGTCCTCGATACCGGCGAACTGCAGCATCTTCTTGGGGACCTGCGAGGCGACGAGGCCGGTACCCTTGGGGGCGGGGATGAGGCGCACGCGGATCGAGCCGCACTTGCCGGTCACCTTGACGGGGACGGTGTGGGGCTTGCCGATGAAGTTACCCCAGTAACCACGCCTCACGGGCACGACGGCCAGCTTCGCGAGGATGATGGCGGCACGGATGGCGGTGGCCACTTCCTTCGAGCACTTGACACCGAGACCGACGTGGCCTGGAGAGAAGGGAATTAATTAGACCAGAGTTGAAGGGCAATCGATTTCTTATGTTGACATGTGTTGCCGTACCGTTGAAGTCACCAACGACGACGAAAGCCTTGAAGCGAGTCCTCTGACCGGCACGGGTCTGCTTCTGGACGGGCATGATCTTGAGCACCTCGTCCTTGAGGCCAGAGACGAACTGATCGATGATTTGGTACTCCTTGACGGGGAGAGAGTAGAGGTAGATCTGCTCGAGCTTGGTCACCTTGCCGGACTTGACGAGACGGCCGAGCTTGGTGGCGGGCACCCAGTGCTCCTTCTCCTCACCCTTCTCGCGACGGGGACCACCGCGGCCGCGGCCACGACCGCCGCCATCACCTCCACGTCCACGACCACCTTCACCGCGACCACGGCCCCTGCCGCCGAAGCCACGCTCACCAGTACCCCTCCCACCTCTCTGTTCGGCCGAAGCGGTGTCAGCCATTTGCTAATGGGGTCGTCGATCGATTCGAATGTGGGGCGGCATCCACAGTTTTGTTGTAGAAGAAGAGAAGAGGGGAGAGAACGTTCTAGATTAGCTTGTGAAATCATTGACAAGAGAGACCCCAGCCAAAGGGGGATGGACGATGCAAGAGGGCGAGTAGTACGGTGCACGTACATCAGATACTCACGATGGAAGAGAGAAAGAAAGAAGGAGAGAGAAGGTTGCCCGCCGGCCAAATACCAAGCCTTTACCTGCCGGATCGATCCCGGATTTCTCCCGGCACGAATGATAGCCTTAAGGTGGCGATGTGACTGTAAAATATTTGGCATTATTTATATTTCTTGGCTGGAAATAACCGGCCATTTGAGCCACGCAAAGTAGGGGTGGCGAGCAGAGAGACAGCAAACACAGAGCTGGTGGCCAATCTCGAAACTCGAGTTGGATTGGCGTGAGCGTGAGAGAGTAGATCTCACATCTCAATTGCTAGCAAAAGAAAGATATTCAGCCAACATGGCCACGGCGGCACTCAATCTCGACTTCCTCGACTTGCCCAGCGAGCGTGAGGACAACCAGCTTCAAAATGAGGTGCTGGACGTAGACAGATTCACTCTGCCTGCTGTCAGCAACGTACGCCCTTCATCTTTAGACACACAGTCGTATTGGCACTCTTCTGCTCCATCTCATCTTGCCCCTTCCATTTCCCCAGCCCGCCTCCTTCCTTACCGATACTTTCCAAGAGACCCAAGCCGAGCCCATCAAAATGCTGCACGGAACCACTACCCTCTCCTTTGTCTTCCAGGGTGGCATCGTTGTCGCTGTCGACTCTCGTGCCACGCAAGGAACCTACATTGGTACGTCGATCTCCATTCTTTGGCCGGGGGGGGGCAGTGTAGTGCCATATCTTCTTATCTTCTTATCTTCTTATCTTCACAGCATCTTATCTTTTTATCAATCCTCTACACAAATCTTCGATCACCGCTTTGATTCTTCTTCTTTTCTGTCTCTACATGTTGCTGATCCATCCTCCAATCAATCTCTCTCCCCGCGGCACAACAGCCTCGCAGTCAGTGCAGAAGGTGATCAGGATCAACCCCTTCCTTCTGGGCACCATGGCCGGTGGTGCCGCCGATTGCTCCTACTGGGAGCGCGAGCTCGGCAGGAGGACGCGACTCTACCAGCTGCGCAACAAGGAGCGCATGACCGTCGCCGCCGCCTCCAAGGTCCTCTCCAACATCCTCTACTACTACCGCAACCAGGGCCTCTCCGTCGGCTCCATGATCTGCGGCTGGGACAAGCGGGTATACTCCCTCTCCTCTCCTCGCGGGTCGTGTCGCGTGTGCGGTGTGCGTGTTGTGTGTCGTGTGTCGTGTGTGCTGACGGGTGCGGTGTTTTTGCGTGGCAGGGTCCCAACATCTTCTACGTGGACAGCGACGGCACACGCCTGAAGGGCGACAAGTTCTCGGTGGGCTCGGGCGGCACCTACGCCTATGGTGTGATGGACGCCGGCTACCGCTTCGACCTCACCGTCGAGGAGGCCTGCGAGCTCGGCAGGCGCGCCATCTTCCACGCTGCCCATCGCGATGCCTACTCGGGCGGTACCATCAACGGTAAGCCCCCCTCCTCGCTCGCGCGCGTGTCGTGTCGTTTCGTGGGCGTGTGTCGTGTCGTGTCTCATTATGTGTGCGTGTCGTGTCTCATTATGTGTGCGTGTCGTGTCGTGCGGCCAGTGTATCACATTTCGGAGCAGGGCTGGAAGCACATCTCGGCGCAGGACAGCAACGACCTCTACTACGAGCAGTACGGCCTGGCGGCCAGGGAGAAGGCCGAAAAGGAGATGAACGAGTGAAGCACGTAAGTAGCGCTTGTAGAGGGGTTGATGTGAATAGATCGTCTTCATGCACAAGCCAGCTCTCTCTTCCTCTCTTCCTCTTTCTCTCTACACGCTCGTCATCACCTTCTTCGACACTTTGGTGAAGTTTTTGTCTCTCTACACGCGCACGCGTAGTGGCTCGTCGTCTTCTCGAAGAAGAAGATGAAGGCGGCTACGCGGTGGCGGTGGTGGTGATGATGGACTTGACGAGGTCCTTCTTGTTGACCTTGCCCATGGCGTTGCGGGGCATCTGGGCCAGCGCGAGCAGCTTGCGGGGCACCTTGTACCCGCTCATCCTGTCCTGGCACCACTCCTTCAGCGCCCCCAGCTCCAGCTCCTTCTCGCCCTGCACCGCCATCATCATCATCATTTGTCATCACCAGGGAAAAGGTGGTGTATGTAATGTGTGTCGTGTCGTGTCGTGTCGTGTCGTGTCGCGTCGTGTCGCGTCGTGTCGTGTGTGGTGTACCTGCTTGAGCACGACGACGGCGGTGATGGTCTGGCCGAAGGAGGGGTCGGGCAGGCCCACGACGGCGCACTCGGCGATGGCCGGGTGCTCCAGCAGCACGCGCTCGACATCCAGCGCACTGCGACATACGACATACGACACACACGCGACACACGCGATGCCACATAAATAAAGAAGACGACACGACACGACCAGCGACACGACACGACACGCGCGCAGCCGTCGAGGAGGCGGACCTGATCTTGTAGCCGCCCGATTTGAGGATGTCGACGCTGGAGCGGCCGAGAATGCGGATGACGCCGCTCTCGTCGACGTACTCGGCGATGTCGCCCGTCTTGAACCACCCGTCGTTCGTGAACTCCTTGGCCGTCGCCTCCGGATTCTTCCAATACCTGCGTACCACGTCATCAACACGCGACACGACACGACACGCACACGACACACACGACACGACACGACACACAACGACGATGATGAGGTGTACGCACTCCTTAAAGACGGCGGGGCCGGTCACCTGCAGGTCGCCCGACACGCCGTGTTCGGTGGTGGCCGCCGAGGCTGCCGCCTGGCCCTCGGCCGCCGCCGGCAAAATGCGGACCTACCACCGCGTCGCGTCGCGTCATTTTAGCTCCGATTGGCCCCGGTGGGTGGTTGGGGGGGGGGCAAAGTTAGTTACGTCGACGTAGCTACCTTGTATCCGGGAAGGGGCGTGCCCACGCAGCCGGGCCGCCGCTGGCCGTGGAGCGGGTTGGAGATGGCCATGCCGAACTCGGTCATGCCGTACCGCTCCAGCAGCAGGTGCCCACTGATCTCCTGCCACCGCGCCATGATCGTCTCTGCGCGTGTGCGATTGTGCGTGTGTGTGTGTGCGATTGTGTGCGTGTGCGATTGTGCGTGTGCGTGTGCGGTGAGATGGACGGGTGGTGGGCAATGAGGGGGGTGGGGGGTGGGGTACCGGGGAGAGCGGCAGAGCCGGAGACCATGAGGCGGAAGTGGCGGCAGGCGTCGGTGGCGTGGCGCTGCTGCTCGGGCGTCATCTGGTCGTAGGCCTCGATCAACTTGGCTGCGCGATTGGGGAGTGGGGCGTCCAATGTAAGATCTCATGACACGACACGCGTGTGGCACGACAAACGACACACACGGCACGACACACACGACACGCGCGCGAAGAACTCACCGTAGACGGTGGGTACGGCCATGAAGAGGGAGAGCTGCGGTTGGGTGGTGTCGGTGAAGCGCCGCCAGACGGCCGACGCGTCGAACTTGCTCATCATCTCGCACTTGGCCCCGGACCACAGCGCGCTGGTCAACACCTGGCAGCACGACACGACACGACCAACGACACGACCAACGACACGACACATCGTGTATCGAATAAGAACGCGTTCCGTGGCACGACACACGCGGCACGACGCGACACGCAAACGTACGGCGATGATGCCGTGGACGTGGTGGAGCGGGAGGACGTTGAGGATGTGGTCGTCCGGGGTCCAGCCCCAGGCGTCGACCAGGGCCGACACCTGCGCCTCCACGTTGCGGTGCGTCGTGTACACACCCTTGGGCCGCCCCGTCGTACCGCTGGTACCGGTACCCCCCAAATCATCATCAGCAGCACCGCACCGCACCGCACGACACGACACACGGCACGGCACGGCACGCACGGCACGGCACGACACGCACCTGGTGTAGACGATGTGGGCGCCCCTGTCTAGGTCGACGTCGAAAAACGAGGGCTCGAGCTCCTGTGGAGGCGCAGGGTGGGGGGTGGCGGCGGTTAAGATGGCGGCTGACGACCGGGGTGGGGGGGGGCGTATATGTACGGCCGGCCGGGCGGGGAAGAGCTGCGGCGCGAGCGTGAGTACCGGCACGTTCAGCCGGCGCGCGATGGGCTCCACCAGCTGCTCGAACCTATAATTTATTTATTTATATATATAGTTATATTGCCATATTTAGTTACATGTGGTTTATATGTTTATATATCTTTATAAAAGGGGTGTGTGTCGTGTCGTGTGCGGGGGCGTGCGCCGTACGTGGGATGGATGACGACGGCCGACGCCTCGCTGTTGCTGATGACGTACTCCACCTCGGGCCCCGGATGATGCACCCCGATCGGCACCGCCACGCCACCGGCGCTCTGAAGAAGAAGAAGAAGAAGAAGCAGCAGAAGAGTGAGAATAATGTAACGAGGATGATGAAGTTGATGAAGTTGATGGTGGTGATGAAGGTGGTGGTGATGATGATGGCGAACCCAGATGCCCCATTGGGTGGCGACGTAGGAGTAGTCGGCGGGACACAAGAACGCCACGCGGCCCCCCTTCATGTCCTTCTCCGGCGCCACTCCCCTGCGTGTGCCGCACGACACGCACACACATGCCGTGAGGTGGGCCAGTCACATGCCGTG